AAGACCTCAGATGGATGACATCCTCTCCCTTCCAAACTCATGCTCCAAAGCTTTCTTCAAGAAGGCATTTGCCTGTGACAGGAGCTCCTTGACAGGTGGCTTGTGGTGGAAATATTCTTGATAAACTTGTGGAATTTAAATTTTGTTCAATTAAGCAAGTTGAAAGATGAAGGATCTGTGTTCTGGGGTATTCCTGTTTTCAAATGAAAATCTGGGTATGGAAGTTTTCTTTGAAATCACAAAAACTATGAAAAAAGGAAGGTTTTATTTTATGCTGATTTCTTTCTTTATTTATTTTTGTAGCAATGACAGTTTATTTTAATATACTAAACCAAAAATTAACAACTTCTTTCTTTGAAAAAAATCTGAATCCTGTACATGCAGGGTTGGTTTAAATGACCATAATGTATTTAACAAAAAACAAATTGTTATAACCCATCTTATAAAGATTTCTATATAGAGAGTAGATGCTAAATAATTTTGCCGAATGATCAGATATTTAAAAAAATCTACACATAGTTATAAAAGAGTTAAGTCCATAAATTAAGAATACTGTGAATTTACTTAACTGTACAAAAGAATCATTCTCTGATTTCTTTATACATCAATTAATTTTAACCCTTCTGTCCATTCTTTTTTTAAAAATATCTATTTATTTGTAGATGAACACACAGTATCTTTATTTATTTTTATGTGGTGCTGAGGATCAAACCCAGTGCCTCACACATGCGAAGTAAGCACTTTATCACTGAGTCCCAGCCACTCCATTCTTTTTTGGGGGGAGGTGGTACCAGGGATTGGACTCTGGGGCACTTGACCACTGAGCCACAACCCCAGTCCTTTTTGTATTTTATTTAGAGACAGGGTCTCACTGAGTTGCTTAGTGCCTTGCTTTTGCTGAGGCTGGCTTTGAACCCGTAATCCTAATCCTCCTGCCTAAGCCTCCAGAGCCACTGGGATTACAGGCGTATGCCACCGCGCTGGACCCAATCTTTTTGTTAATCTGGATTTTCATATTAATATCATGGTGGCCAGAACTGTGGAGAGTGTCTGATTCAAATGTCTCATGTCTCTGGTAAGAGGCTGAGGGAAAGTCAGGCAGAGGGGTGTGGCCAGCACCCCACTCACCACTCCCTACAATGCTGAGTTAGCTAGAAGTCAGAGTATGTGTATTGAAGTTCTCATTGTGTGCCTTCCTCTCTATTTTTAAAAAATATTTATTTTTTAGTTATAGATGGACATGATAACTTTATTTTATTTTATTTATTTTTTATGTGGTGCTGAGGATTGAACCCAGGGCCTCACACATGTTAGGCGAGTGCTCTAACACTGAGCCACAACCCCAGCCTTCTCTCTATTTTTGTATGTTCTCTAAAACATATTTGCCTTTTAAAGGAACACCTTGGAGAAAAATGAGCTCATGGTTATATATTTCATTTAAGGACCAGATGCAGGGGATTGTGCATTCCTAGCAAGGCAAATTCCACTCACAGATTTTAAAGGTGGCATTATAATCTTATGGCCCCAACTTACCGACTCCTTTTCTTGAACAATCAGCTGTATCCCCATCTCTGCTTTGATACAGAGCCTGCTTCCATTTAGAACTTGGTAAACTCCGGTCTTGGCTGGTGATGGCTGAGGTACAAGGGTGGGCCCAGGAACTATGGTGGCAGGTGGGATTGTTTGGGTGACATTGTGTGACCCTGGGGATGTTCCTGGGGCATGGGTGAGTGGACTAGGCTTCGGACTGGTTGTGCTTTTGTGAGGTATTGTAGACAAAGTTTTGGGGAGAGTGGTCTGTTCACTGGGTTGGATGGTCTTCCTAGTTGTGTGGCTGACAGCAGATGTACTGGTTCCAGCTGTAGGGGCTGGTGGTGTGATGGGTGACTCTGAACGAGTCAAGGTGGGGCCAATGGTGGCTTCGGTAACTGGGTGTGACTTGTTGGGTGTGGCCAGGGTGAAGGTCACTGGACTGGCGGAAGGGTTACTTTTTATTGTTACTGGGGTAGCAGGTGGAGTTTTCATCGTTGTGTTTCTGGGGTTCTCAGAGTTGGAGGTTTTGACAGCTGTTGGAGAGGTGATGTGACCCTCCATTGATCTTGCTGCCACTGCTTTGTGAGGCCCTTGGTGAGTTAGCTTTGCTGTGATCTGTCCTGTTGCTACTTCCGTGGGTTGAAGATGGTGTCTGCTTTCTGGAAATGCTGTTGCTCTTATTGGAGGGCCATCATGTAAAATAACTGCAAATTAGGAAACAAGAGTGTCAAAACATCAATTGCTTACAAGTTTCCTCTTCCATTCCCATCTTAATGTTGGTTTTTAAGAAAAAAGACAATATACATGTTTTTAGATTTTAGGGAAATTTACAAGCTCTGACATTCCTCTGCAGGCAGCCTCTTTGTGTACACAGGATGTGGCACTCATGCACCCTAAAGTGATTACACTCAGCTAGAGCTCTAGGTGTGTACGCCTCTTCATTTCCCACCTTTAAATGTAAAACCAGACAGTTGACATCAAATAGTGCTCCTGATGCTGTGATGTTCTGATGGAACCCGGCAGCATGTCTATTGGTAATAAAATATACAGAGGGTTTTTAAAAAAATTTTTTTAGACATTGGTGAATCTTTATTTTATTTATATGCAGTGCTGAGGATTGAACCCAGTGCCTCACACATGCTAGGCAAGTGTTCTACCACTGAGCCACAACCCCGGCCCAGAGTTTTATAGTTCTCATAGAATCATATAATCCCAGGTTTGAAAGGGAATTTAAATGTCATGGAGTCCAAACTCTAATCTGATGCATGAATTAAACCTATGAATCTTTGCTCTATGCTCATCTGATCTATGCTTAATTTCCCCTAATGATGGGAGACTCATTTCTTCACAGTATAATCCCCTTCAACTTTTATCTTGCCAATCATAAGTTTTCTAAATATAAACCAATTCCTGTCGTTTTTCTTAAACTTTTGTATGGCCCAGTCTTTCTCAGCCAAAAAGGAAAATTAAGGTGTGATTGCTCTGACTCTTTAGGAGGCCTGTCCTTCATGACAGCTCCTCAGAAGGTATTCCCTGTCCTATGTAAAACAGGTCCCAACCCCCATGATTCGCCATCTCAACATTATATTCATTGTTTTCACTGTACGAATTACAATTTGTAATTATTTCCACAGATGGTATTGGAATTAAGACTAGTGATCTGCCTGGCCAGTGGGTACCAGCAGAATTTCAGCCCTGAAAAAACATGTATTTACTGGTTTATTAATTTTTGCGCATGTCTTACTAGACTAAAAGTCACCAAAGGTGGGAACTTATGTGTATAATTTCACCACCAGTGCCTGTGTGTAGAAAGTGTTCAGTAAATCTGAGCTGAATGAATAAATGACCCAATGGATAAATGAGGATGATAGCCTTATACATCTAGGGCTATCATAAGGCTCAAGTGAGTTGGTTTTAGTGAAAGCTTCAAGACTACTGAGAACATACATGGTGTCTACTGTAGTCACAGTTCTTTCTGGGGGTGTCCTTCAGCATGAAAGAGCTCTGGCTTTCTTTCAACTAGAGCGGTTCTATCTTTGCTTTCTCTAGGCATATAACAATCCAGAAAAGTATGCAAAGCACAGGCTCAAAATGGCCTTGGGAGCCGCAAAATGACCTTGGGAACCGGGTATGGTGGTGCACACCTGTAGTCCCAGAAACTTGTGAGGCTGAGGCAGGAGGATTGCAGGTTCAAAGCCAGACTCAGCAACTTGGGGAGACCCTGAGCAACTTAGTGAGTTCCTTTCTCTAAAAAAAAGAGTGGGGAGGGTGGGAATGGGGATGTGGCTCATGTGGTTAAGTGCTCCTGGTTTAATCTCAGGTTTAAAAAAAAAAATGTCCTTGGGAGTCTGATCAGGTACACTGGGAGAGAGTTCTGTCCTCCAATTCTGTGGTTTCATTGTATTTATTCAGACACTCATTGGAGCCATTGTTTCCAGATGTTGGGCTGAGACTTAGGAAAGCATGTGGAAAGGGAAAGGAGAAGGTTCTACATTGGTATTTATAAAGTCCTAATAATCATATCTAATAAAAATGATCCATAAATACCTTTTTATCTCTTTCCATTCAATACATTTCTAAGTGGTTACTTTCCTCCTATTAATAAATAGCAATAAATTACCAAATTACAGGACATTTACTACTTGGAGGCCTCAGATCAAAGTTTTTTTTTTTTTTTTTTTTTTAAATGAACTCTTCTTACAAATCCTCTGGTGGAAACTATCTTTATACATTTTTCAAAAGCAGAAACTTGGGTTACAAAATTTCATCAACTTGATTGTAATTGTACAACTTGTCAATGTTGGAGGTGAGACTCAAGTTCTTGTACATCTGAATCAAAGCCTGTATTTGGATTTGGGGAAGTGTGAAGGTATAGTGTGTGGCTGGGAAGACTGGGGAATGCAGAGACAAAATCACAGGAGAGAGGTCCTTTGCAGTAACCCTGGCCAGTGGGTACCAGCAGCTTCTCATAATGGTGGTTCTTGGTGAAACCTTCAAAAGTTCACATGTTGAAATGGTGGTGAAAACTTCAGGAGGTAGGGCCTCTAGGAAGTCCTCAGGTCTTTGAAAGTGGGCATACTTTTCAAATGGGAACCTCACCCCCTAGAGATTTAGTAAAGGTCAAGGTCACTGCTCTCTCTGCCCCAAAAGAGGGCAGGGGACAGGATGGAGGGCAGGGCATAGCTCAGAATCTGTCTTGACCCTCCCTCTACTCAAAAGAACATAGCATTGGAGTTCACATGCTAATCTGCCAACCCCCACCTCCACTCCCACCCCAGAATTTGCTGTCCAGGATTCAGGAGGCTCAGCGAACATACCCCAGGGCCTAGATCCATTGCTCTGACTCTTCTAAGAGACTGTTAACAGGAAGAGGTGTGAGAAGGTTTTAGTTCCCCTACAACCAGCAGGAAGAGCTGAGAGCTGAGTCATTGCCTAGTCCCTGGGAAAGTCAGTGGCCACACAGGGGCTCAGGATGACCACTTCTTTACTTTTTTTCCCCCCCAACAGGTCCTTTCCAGACAGACTTTGGTTGGTTTCCTGCCACACTCAACTAAACAGGTATGTAGAGCCCTCCTCTGAAGGTAGGCTCCATGCCCAGCACTGGGGATGGGTCTTTGTTCTTGGAGGCTCAAAGCCTTGTGAGGCAGATGCACGATTTCGTTTATACTCCTCAGTGTGACAAGTGTTATTATTGAAACAGTCCCAGGGGGCCAGGGGAGTATAGGGTGGAGCATCTCATCAAGGAGAAATTCTTTGGGCAGACGAGATAGAAGGTACTCCAGACAGGAAGAGGAGATGTGCTGTGCCGTGAGGCTTGGAGGCCTGGGATATTGGGAGGACAGGAAGAGAGCCTGGGGAAGCAGGGATAGTCAGCAGGAACAGGCCTTGGAGGACACATTTTGTCTGCAGGCCTCTGAGGAGCAGAGTCGGGGGGGTAATTGGAGTCCTGACCCCAAGTACAGGAGCAGGGAACCAGATTTTAGCACCTGACCCCAGCCCCTTGCTTGGTATTTCCTGGGGCAGCTATAGCAGAGACGGTCATGCCCTAGAACAGAAGGGTGGAGACTGCTGGCTGACTACTTCAAAATTTTGTCTTCCTCTGTTCCTTAGGAACAGAATGCTGAGTTTAATCTGAACACTTGTTTCCTGGAGCAAAGAGCCCTTCATCCAACTCTCCCTTCTGAGTGGGGACATGATCAAGTGTTAGCCAAGGCAATAGAAGCAACAGGGTTATGTGGGCCTTCCAGGAAGGCTGGTTGAAGGGACCTCAGTCACCTGGGTGGCCTTCTTCTCTGTTGCCCATCTTTTTTCCTTTCAACAATCCTGTAACTTGTTGGCTGGAGCTCTAGCACACATCCAGAACCACCAGGAGACCTTGAAGGTGAAAGTCACACAAGACCTGAAGATGAGCCCCTATGCTAGAACAGGTCTGAATTCCTCTGATTTGTTTTCACAGGAGAGAGTTACAAACAATAATCTATCTGTTTCATCCATTGTCATTTTGGGCTTGTTGGTTTTATATAGGTGAACCTAAACTTAACAGATACTAATTTAAATCTTCTAGTTTTCTGAAGCAGGAATTTGAGGCCAGGGAAACAAAAGTCTTAGATAAAGATTACTCATCTGGTTTACCTAGGAGCTATATCTTTCCTAGCAAGATGTCTAATAGTTTAGCTAATCTCCAATTCAACAAGTTTTTTTTTTTTTTTTTTTTTTTTTGGTACCAGGGATTAAACCCAGAGGGGCTTAATCACTTTGTCACATCCCCAGATCTTTTTATTTTTTATTTTGAACAGGGTCTCGCTAGGTTGCTGAGGCTGATTTTGAACTTGTGATCCTCCTGTCTCATCTCCTAAGCTTCTGGGATTACAGGGTGTGCCACCATGCCCAGCAACAAGTATCTCTTGAGCCTCTGCACATATGGTTGGGTAGTGCAGTAGTTCAGGGCATGAATCCCAAAGCCCCAGACTTCATGGACGTCAATCTCAGGGCTGCCACTTACTAACAGGGAGTCCATGAGCAATTACTTAGCCTGCCCCTATCTTAGGATTCTTATCTGTAAACTGGGGAAGAGAACAACACCTACTTTTCAGAGTTCTTAATGAAACTAGATGAATTAATATAGGCAAGTAGATGCACATATGGAGCCCTTAGCTTATCTGCTATGAGCATGGCTCTGGTTCAAAGCTCAAATCTGTACTTTGTGACCATTAGCAAAATTTTAAATCATTTTGTGCTTCTGCTTTCTGATTAGCAAAATGGAGATGTTACCAGTACTTACAACCTAGTGAGACTCTGTTATAAGGTTTAAAGAGCTCACAACAATACTGGCCTACAGAAAGTACCATGAAGTAGCGGTCACTCTGTGCCCATAAGCCCTGTGCTGGGGGAGGGGGGTTGCAAAGATGACTGGAGAGAGGGACATGGGGAGAAAAATACAGGAAGGGGACTGACCCAGTCAAGCAAAGCACTTTCACAATTGTTTTACCGGCTTGCTCTCATGTTGTCCTCCCAGCACTCCTGGGAGAAGACACTATTTTCCCCACTTTTCAGTGAGGAAACTAAATAGCTGAAAGGTCTGTTTATAGAAACAAGGCCTCCCTGCTGATAAGGGTTGAATCCTGGGGCACTGACCTGCCCCATGGCCAGATGTGGCTCATGGCTCACCCCTGAGGAAGATCCTCACACTTCTTTCATCCCTTCACACTGAGAATTACAGCTCAGAAAGGAAAGGGCATTTGCCCTCACTTGCCTAGTTGGCACTTGGCCACACTCATTGTGTGCCTGCATCTGTCAGTCATTCAGTTGGCGCTCATACACGTCATTACAGGGGCCAGGTAGAGTGTGTTTGCTTTTGTATTAGCCTGTAGTGATCATTTTTTTTTTCTTTTTCTCTTCCTTACTTCCTTTCTGTCCATGGTACTGGGGATGGAACCTAAGGCCTCACCAGTGCTAGGTGAGAGCTGTACCACTCAGCTACACCCCAGCCCAAGTTATTTTTTTTCTATATCCCAAAGAACACAAAAGTATAATTCTCAAAGCACGGCACAAAGGAAAACAGCCTGCATCACAGGAGCTGGCATGACCCTTGCACAGTTTCAAGATATTCGTAATATTCATGGGGCACCAGGGACCACTGTGTCTTGCACTTGAGCGTGCCAACAGGGCAGTGTGGACAGAGTTAGTTCTCTCATATGCTACGTTCAGTGGTTCTAGGTGGGAAACTGGGAATTGACAGGCAAATTTGATACCAGGAACAGAACCACAGCACCTAAGAGGACTCCATGTCCTGGGAAGAAAGTGCTTTGGTGAAAGCAGGGACTCAGGACATCAAATAATAATTACACATTTATCATCCCATTTGGCCTCTCTGAGCCAAAGTGCAATGGCAGTATATATATAAAATATTTATATATTTAGTATATATATTTATATATATATTTAATTTTTTTTTAGGTGTACATGGACATAATGCCTTTATTTATTTTTATGTGGTGCTGAGGATCGAACCCAGTGCCTCACACATGCTAGGCAAGCACTCTACTACTGAGCTACAGTCCCAGCCCCAATGGTACTATATTTTTTAAAAAAATCTTTGACACTGGGTTTACACCTTTCTTAAGCAGAGCGATTGTCACACCACATGAGATGCATCTTGACAGGTCACTGTTTATATAATATAAACATAGCACTGTTATTTAAGAAAAACAGGAAAAGGAAGAGATGATTTCTTTAAACAGATAACAAAATGAGAGCCCCATTTCTGAGCTCTGGCTCAATTCTCCCTCTCCTGAATCTAAGTGATTTCTACGGATGCCCTTGATAAGATGCCCATAACCCATGTTCAAGCCCACAACCCATGTTCAAGCAACAGAGAGGCTGTGCTCTGGAGTTGATGCCTACTCTGCCTAATGCCCAGGCAACACGTCCAAATTGTGAAAACCCTTGGAAAAACTGAAGGTTGGAGACGTCCTTGATCTAAACACCTACAGGCAGAAGCCATATCTACAGTCTGACCTGTCTCTGCTTGGTTAGGGGCATCAGAATGAATTTAGGTTTAAAAAATCAGATATGGCAAAGGCCACCACGGAAAGCCGTGTGTGTCACTCACCAGCCAGGGACACGGAGAGCACCACCACTGCAGAGAGTTGCCGGGGCATGGCTGGCCAGTGAGGGCGAACACCGGGCGCGAAGGCTCTGCTGCTCGGGGATCCGCTGGGCACAGCTGGGATGTCTGAACCGTGGGCACAGGGCTAATTCCAGGGCAAGTCCCTGGAACGCCTAGGAAGTTTCAGCTCCTTGCCCCACATTCACTTGTGGCAGAGAAACTAAAGTCACTTACGTTATGAGAAGGAGCTGAAAGACCCGCCCAAGCCGTATGCTGCGCAAGGAGGGAAACCACAAGTGCCCTTTGTGGGAGAGCAGGCGCCTTCCTCTCTGCCTGGAGCTTTGGTGAGGGGTGGGGACGTGGGTGGGGATGTGGGAGGGGGCCGGCCAAGGTGAAGGGCATTGGGATCTTTTCTCTGTAGGAGGTAGAGGGTCTCTGACAACTTGGGTGTCCTCTTTCTCTGATGGCTTGGGTAAATTTCTGTAAATCCCGAGATCCTTGCCAGTTGAGAGAAAACCAGTCACCGAATCAAGGCTGAGAGGGACACTTACAACACCAGGGCGGAGTTCTCTGCTCCTGTGCCTCTGAGCAGCTCATTTTGATGCCCAGGGAGGCCTCACTTTGGGATCTTGGGGTATAGGAACTTGACCCTGCCAATTCTTCAGCTGAATGACCTTGGGTAACCTCTTTGACCTCAGCTATGATTGGAATAGTAATGCCTACACCCAAGTGGTTTTTACAGAACCTGAATTCCTGGAACACAGAAAATACGCAATATCTTTGAAAGGCAACTTTTTTTTCCAGTTTTTCTCCTTCCTCTGGTAATTAGACAAAACAGTGATGGTCTGTCTCAAGGCTGTGAGTCTGAGTGAGGAATAAATGTAGGCCGTGTATTAGGGTACCTCCCCACCCCATGAGTGGGTCTGTGGCTTTTAGCACACAGTTTCAGATCATTTTCTGAAAAACAATTTTAGCTACAATTATCTTACTATTTTGTCCTAAACACCCTAATCAAGCAAACTTACCAAAGCTTACAGTGTGTTCCAAAATGGAATTTTTATGGTAAAACGTGCCTAATTTTAGCAACTACCTGCTTTCTGATCTTCTAGTCAATTCATTCCACAGACAATAATTTAGTAGATGTTGTGTGCCAGGTACTCTCCTTATTCCATTTAAGCCTCATGGTTCCTGGGTGTGGGCAGTTTTTATAATTGCCTTCCCATTTTTCAGATGGGGAAGCTGAGCACAGAGAGGTCAAGGTAATAAACGAAGAAGCTGGGCTATGCATCCAGGATTGAGAAGCTAGGATCTTTAAGCTAGGATTTTAAGAGGTGTTGTGTTTGACACTCTGTAATGCATAAGGCAGCTCTACATGGTAAATTTTAAAAATCTCTGTTTTACTAATATGGTAACTAAACCACCCAACATCACACAACAGATTAAGAATTTACTAATGGCTTATGTGGCCTGAAGTCTTTGTCTTCTGCTGATCAACAGGGGGAAAATCTCAGGAGTGGTGACAGGTTTGACTGGAAGGTACTGGAGGGTACTGGGGAGCAGTGGAGAATAGGATCAAGATGGTGCCACATTGGAGAGACTGAAGAAGCCAGACAGGAGTTTAGTCTTTCTTCCCTGAAGGCTTTGAAATAGGCAGGTGCATTTGGGAGCAAGTGTTGGCCTGACACTTGGGTGGCTGGGTGGCTTTGAGACATTAGTTCAGCTGATATTTCCTGGAGGATGTCTAGAACCAGGCTCCTGAGCAGGCACTTAGAGGATCAGAGACTTGGCCTGTTTCTTCAGGGCTCCTGCCTTTGATTAAAGATGAGATATCACAGCTGGAGTTTCAGAAGTGGTTGAAGCCAGGTTATAGATCATCCCCACTGTCCATTAACAGGCAAAATATTTGCTGGATTGCAGGGACCTGTGAAGGCATATTTCAAATTCTGAAAATTGTTCTCCTTTTGTAAGAAACGAATACAACAGTTTTAGGAGCTCTGTGTCAGCAACTGGGATCAAAGACCAAGTACTAGAATAAAATTTCTCCTAGCAACCCTATTAACAAGGGTTTAGGAGATCTGTGAGGAACCGAGGACAGAAGTAAAATATGTGTTTCTTATCACAATATCAAGTGATTTATTATTTTAAAGAATTTTTTCTTTTAACTAAGTGTTGTTTTATTAGCAAAAAACTATCATATTCCTTGATTAGTCTTATATTTGTAGCATATGAAGTGAGGTCACCTCTTTTATTACTAATATTGATTATTTGCATTTTCTCTGATCAGTCTAACTAGATGTCTATCAATCTTATTCATGTTTTCAAAGAATCAAAATATAGTTTTGTTATTGTTCTTTTGTTTTCTATTTAATTGATTTCCATTTGGTCTTTATTATTTTCTTTCTTCTACTTAATTTGCATTTTGTTTGTTTTTCTTTTAATTGTTTTTGAAGTTGGAAGTTGAGGTCACTAGTTTGAGATTTTTCTTCTTCTCTAATAAATGTGTACTACTATAAATTCCCCTCAAATTACTTCTGTATCTGGATCCCACAAATTCTGATATCTTTCCATTTTTACTTAGTTAGAAATACTTCCTTATTTTCTTTCTGATATTTTCAGCTTACAGTTATTTAAAATAGAGTAGGTTCATTTCCAAACAATTCTGGGAATTTTCAAGATCTTTCTTTACTGATTTCTAACTTAAGTTCATGATTGGAAATACAGGATTTAAGTTTTACAAATTTATGGAGACACATTTTTCTGACCATGGTTTTTGTGAGAAGTTCCAGAACAAAAGTACCACAGGCTAGGGGACTTAGATAACAGAGATAACTGAAATTAAGGTATTAGTAGGGTTCATTCCTTTAAGGGCTCTCTCCTCTGTGTCTTCTGTGGTCATTTCTCTGTGCATGCCTATGCCCTAATCTCCTTTGCTTATAATGATATCAGTCATATTGAATTAATGTCCACCCTGATAACCTCTTAAAGACCCTATCTCCAAATACAATCACATTCTGAGGTACTGAGGTTAAGGTTTCCGCAGATGCATTTGGTGGTGAAGGGGAAGGACACAGCTCATCCTATCACAACGGGATGTCTTGTAGAATGTTTCTAGTGCACTTGGGAAGGACATGTCCAATCTATTATTGAATCCAGTGTTCTGTTGATGTTCATTAGGTTAAATTGGTCAATTATAATTTGTATTCTCACTGATTTTCTACTTGTTTTATCAATTTTGCAAGACAGGAACCAAAATAGTTGAATATAATTGTGTTTTTCTATTTCTCCTTGCAATTCTGTTTTTGATTTATTTGTCCTGAGGCTCTATTATTGACACACAAACAGCCAACATTATTAGGTCTTCTTGGTGGGATGGTCATTGTGTCATTTTGAAGTGACTTTTTTTTTTTTTTTAAAAAAAAAAAACATCTTTGTTCTGAGACTGTTTTGTGTTAACATAGTCGTTTTGGCTTTCTTCTGGTTAGCATTAGCATGGTATAACCTTTTCTATCCTTTTGCTTTTAATCTATTTATAACTTTATACTTAGAATGGCTTTTTAAATTTTGTTTTTAATATCCAGTTCGACAATCATTCTTTTTTGTTTTTTTTGGTACTGGGGATTGAACTCAGGGGTGCTGTACCACTGAGCCACATCCTCAGCCCTATTTTGTATTTTATTTGAAGACAGAGTCTCACTGAGTTGCTTAGCACCTCACTTTTGCTGAGGCTAGCTTTGAACTTGTGATCCTCTTGCCTCAGTCTCCCCAGCCAGGAATTTCACCACCACACCTGGCCAAATCATTCTTTTTTAATCGAGATGTTTAGACTACTTCATTATTGATACGAGAATGTTTAATATCTTGGTAAGTCGTTTCTACTTTTCTGTTCTTAGTTTCACATTTCCTCTTTCATTATCAGCTCTTGGATATGTTTATTAAATTCTATTTTATCTCACTTGTTGGCTTATTTGTGTGACTCCATCATGTTTGCTTTAAAGTTTACAGAATTTATAATATCACAGTGAACCTTCAAGTGTTATTGTGCTGCTATACACATAAGGGACTTACAATACAGTATTTCAATTTCTTCCCTCCTGGTCTTTGTTCTGTTGTTCTCATCCATTTCAATTGGTCATAAATCAGAAACTATAACATATTGTCATAATTTTTAAGCTAAATAGTCATTATCTTTATTTAAAGATAAAATAAATAAGGAGGGGGGAGCTTTTAGTCTTAATTCTTACAATTACTATTTCTCTTAGTCTTCTTTTGTACAGATCCTTGGGCTTGTTGTTGCTATGGTTACCCCAAGTACACTGGGTGCACTTCAAGTGATATGTTTGGTGTGTATGTGTGCATTTGTTTGCTCAAATGTTTTCTCAGTGTCTGCTCCACTCTAGCTTTAGGTCTTCCTGTTGATTGTCCTCTCTCTCTCCACATACTGGTGGAATCCCCCCAAGTCTTTCTCAGAAAATATTCTTTTAAGTCATCATATCTTATTGTATCTCTTTGTTATAAGTTTAGCCTTTCCCCTTACTAATATACATGGGATATTACATTTCACAAAAGAAAAAGGGGTTCCATGATCAAATAAGTTTGGGTAAAGTGTACAGACTTCCTTCCTGTAAGAGCTCTCAGATTCTTGAATATATTAATTGACATCTACCAAGAGAGGAATAAAATGTGCTTTAAAAAGGTTTTTACTATTAGATTATTAAAAACTTTTTTCCTGCCTAGCAGAAAATGGATTAACTCATTGAATACTTCTGCATATTCTGTAAAATATACTGTAGCAATGCTGGGATAGAGGATCTTTGACTTTCTAACTCTAACATTGCATAATGCATGGCTGGTATTTAGTACAGACTCAGAACCCCTCTAGATTTTATGAATTTAGCTGCTTCAGCCAGGCCATTATAATCTGTGGCCACAGCATTCTCAACCCTCGGCAACACATTGAAATCCAAGTCCCTCTAGTGGGCCACATTTTAAAGGCATGGGGGATTTGAACAACTCTAAAAGAGGCCTGAGGGGTTTCATCTGGTGGTTTTGGATTCCTTTCTATTTACTCAAATGGGAAGAGAACACACATTTAATTCACTGAAAACATACCCTTTGTTTCTCCACCCTGTTTTTTTTTTAAATTTTTATTTATTTATTTTTACATGAGCTTTATTATTATTATTATTTTGCATTACCACCCTGTTTTTAATAAGCCTAAAAGTTCACAACTACTTCCTGAGTTAATAGTGTGGCCAGGCCCTTAGTAGAGATTGTAGTGTCCACTGGAGATCTATTGATACCTGAGATGGCTTCACAAGGATTATTCCCCTATTTCTGTGTCCCCTGCAGCCCACCATGAGCTCTGTGATTCCTGGAGCCCAACAGAGCAGCAGCCTGGGCTTTGACAAGGAGGCTGGAGTAGAAGATCAGAGTGGACAGTCCTGGGGCACTGGGGGCAGCACTTGAGGACATCCAGCAATTCCTGGTACTAGAAAGACTCCTCTGGTCACCTCTCTGTGGCATAATATCTGCAGAGAGACTCCTTCTGGGAAGATAGGGCACTTGTCCCCTGCCAGCACCATCAAGTGTGGACATTTTCGTATGGCAGGTGTGGACTCAGGCCCAAAGTACTGAACATGCCTTGGGCTGAGTTTCTGTAGTGAGCAGCTGGCTATTCAATGATCAAACATGTCTGAGACCACCTAAGTGGTGTTTCCTGAGGCACATGGTCAGCATCCTGAAGATTCTTGTGTTCAGCTAAGATACAAAAGTAGTTGAAGTTCTGGCATATTCTCATAGAGAATTGGGTATATCATGATTGACAAGATAAGCAGAGAAGTCTGCTGAGATATACATACACATGCATTTGAGACTGAATGTATAGATATGTTTTACAAGAAGTTTGAAAATACACCATCATCCATTAGGCAGGACTACACTTTCTTCAGACTTGGTAGTCATGTTTACTGTTGTTCACATAGTAAAGGACTCTGTGTGCTTTCAATACTCGTTTTTTTTTTAAATATGTTTTTTAGTTGTTGATGGACCTTTATTTATACTTATTTATTTATGTGCAGTGCTGAGAATTGAATACAGAGCCTCACAAATACTAGACAAGTGCCCTACCACCGAGCTACAACACTGTTGAATTCATAAGATTCACAAGCTAGGTTGGATTTAAATAGGTTCCCCCTTTGAGAACCACATCCCTGCAGCCTTTCTACCCTTTCTATGGTTGTAGTTGTCCAAAGTAGCTGGAGGAAGTTATAAGTGGTCATGCTCAGAGCCTGCCCTACCCTAACAGATTCTCACAGTAGGTTTCCTTTGTCCCCTCTTCCCTCACCTCCTTTGCAACTGACATCATCACCACCTCACAGGTGGCTGGTCTCAACCTTCCTCTTTTCCTACAGATGTGTAAGAACCTGGGATGAGGAGGTGAAGGAGGAAGGGACTCACCACTAATGGACAAGTGAAAATGGCGGTGGGAAAACACTAAAGCCAGTGAGGAGGGAGGATTCCCAGGAATGTAACTGTGATGGGATCAAGAAGAGCAGGAAGAGTAGAGGACTCCTGAAGTTGCTTCCCACTCTCTGTTGGTGAGCAGTGAGGATGATAGGAGGCAGGATCTGCTGAGTGCCAGGGCCAGCCCTAATGTTAAGAGCCTTTCTGACTCTTGTGGCCCAGGGGTCCTTAGCAACTTGTCATCCCTGCCATGCAGGGCTCCTGTATGTCTCTGTGCCTGAGCATGTGCTATTCCCTCAGCCCAAGGTCTCCTCCTCCTTCTCTACCTAAAGAAAGCTTTGGCTCCTTTAGACCTAGCTCAGATATCACCCCTTCCCTAACCACATCAGAAGAGTCCGTGACAGTGTTGCTGCCCCCAGAGTATCTGTCACACTGTGATTGTGCTTATCTTTTTCTACATTTGTCTTCCCCACTTGATGGATGATTTCTCACTCATCTTTACATTTCCCTGGGCTCACTTGGTTCTTGAATTTCCCTTAGGACAGAAGTACTCTGAGAGCAGGTGTTGAATCAATTGAATAACATACTATATATTTTTATGGTCAAGATGAAACAATGTGGTTTGAAAATGATGCCGATAAAAGAATCTAAGATTATAAGATTATGGGTTTGGGAAGAACTTTTATTGTGTAAATAGTCTACAAAATTGAAACACACATTATCAAGAAAGATACTTTATTGTTAGGAAAGGGGGGTGGGAGAAGGTAGACCCACAACACAGTTTCACTTTCTGAAAAGTTTCAAAGAGGGATGAGCCTCTCCCTTACAGCCTGTCCCTCAGTCTCTACTTTTTTGGTCACCTAAAGGGCTTCCTTATGAATAAAGTGAGATAAATGATTTTTTTTTTGATATCTAAAGTGATTTCCTTGAGACTCACAGGAGAGGCTGCTCTCATTGGCTCACTCCATTCCAGAAACAGTCAGGGGACCGGAGACTCAGCTAGATCCCATGTCTAGGGAAAACTTAAAACCAAATAATCCCTAACGATTCCAAAACAAACTAAATTCAAAAGTACTCTAAAACTAAGTAACTGCAAAGCTAAGATTGCTGGTTGTACACTGGACTTCCCAGCTTCCAGCCCACCCTTCTACTCTCTGCTTTGGAGACTGGAGGAGGGGAAGGGGATGTGCCTCTTCAGCATCCTGCCTGCCTGCCGGCCCCTAGCAGCATCTCTACCCAGAGTGCCACAGCGTGCTTCAGCAGCACCAGTGATCCAGTTGGACATTTTCCTTAAAAATCCCATAACTAGCCCATCGTGCCATTTTAGAGACACCAGCACCTGCTTCTCAGAGTTCTGCATCTAGCTCCCAAGTTCCTGGGCCATCTGTATCTTGAGCAGCAACTGCTCCTCAGGGGACAAGCCCTAGCCATGGGGTTACCTCTACACTCCTGGATTTTGATAATTCCAACCTCTGACCTTTGTTCTCTCAGCTCTCAGTTTCCATGATATCTCAGTATCATTTCTTCTTATATTTTGAATCTCCAACAGCTGGTTAACAATTCTTTATATTATATTTTCTCTGTTAAAATAACTAATATAACATTTCTTAATTGAACTGATACACTAAATTCTAAACCTAAATAACTTGGAAAATAAATCTGAATGAATTAAGAAAGAAAAAAGACAAAAATTTAAGTGGTGAAGGCATAACTGAAAAAAAAATGACTGAGAATAAGTTGCTCTGGAAATAATTTAAAAACTAAATATATTAAAAACTTTGAAAAAATTTAATATGTTTAAAATTTAAATAATTTTGAAAATAAAATTTTAAAAATGAAATAACTCACACAATAAATAAAAATAAGTGAATGTAAAAATAAACAGCTCACAAAAAAATAACTGAAGAAACCCTGGAAAACTAAATAACTCAGAAAAAGTCCTACAGTGACTAAGAGCATTGCACTCTGAAAATAAATGACTACAGTAATTCAAAAGCTCTCAATGAGTTTCAGTTAGTCAATTGACTGTGAAAATAAATAATTCAAAATTCCAATAACTAAAAGTAGAAAGCAACTCAGATACTAAACACTGTAAATACAGGCAATGAAAATAGATAATTATAAGCTAATTAATTTAAAACCTACAACTCAAAACAAAATAACTATTAATAAAAATAAAACATAACTGAAAATGAATAATTAAAAAAATCTTGAAAGTAAAATAAATGATTATTCACAGGCAACTACAAGTATAAAATTAAGTAATTAAAAAGCTAAAAATGAATGAAATGTTACTAATGAGACTAAAAAATAATTGAAAATGAATAACATGTATTAAAAAACTAATACATCTGTCGTAAATACTTCAGAAGTAAACTTGGAACCAACCCTCTTTGAAACTGAACAACCTTGGAATGAACACACATAAACACACACACACACACACACACACACACACACGGAAGTTCTCTTGGGGGATGGGGAGGCGCAGCAGCTTCCAGGTGCTCATCCCGGCCTGCGCTCGCGCTCAGACTCCAAGGCTCTAATTCCACTCCCATTCCCGAGAAATCTTGCAATATCTGAAGGAATCTTTGATTGTCCCAATTTGGGGATGGGAGGGTGTAGGGGCGTGTTACTGACCTGTAGCTTCTAGAGGCCCAGGATGCTGCTAAACATCCCACAGCCCACAGAACAGCCCCCACAGCAAAGACTTATTGCCCCAAAGGTCAAAATCGCCAAAAATTGAGCAGCCCTTGGTGAGTCCTGGCGGCGTAAGCTGTGGGCTCCCCGCGCCCGTGGAGGCGCGTGCAGCCACACACAGTTCCCGGGCCCCCGAGCTGGGACCCTTGGGGCGCTCCGCCTTGGGCTCCCCTCCCCCGGCTGCAGACCCGGGGAGCCGAGGCCCGCAGGCTGCTTTCTGCTGAAGGAGCGCGCGGCGTTCGTCCGCATCACGACAGCCCCTCCCCGGGATGCAGATGGCACTGGCGGCCGCGGAGCGAAGGGAGCCTGCGACGAGGGTCAGTTCTCCGTGGAGGAGAGTCTCGGGCTTGCTGCGATCGCCCGCACTGCCTGCGCCTGGACATCCGTCGTCTCCCCCGCAGGAGAGGGCAGGCCAGGGGACACCCCAGCGCTCCCCTCGGTGCTGCTCGGTGCCCTGAAATGCCAAGAAGAAAGTCAGAGAAGCCCTGGCAACAGATCGGCTTAACTTTCTTCCCACTTTCACACTCACGCTTTCTTCTCATCACGTTCTTCTGTTCCTCCCTCGGTGTTTTCTCCTTTCTCCAGGGAAACCGTTTTAGGGGAACAGGTTTCACAACTGTCCTCAGACTGGAAAAGTCCTGAGAGCTGGAAGGATGGGAACAGGGACACACCTCAGAGTCAGCAGTGGGGGCAGTGCTCCGCCCCGGCAAGGCCCACTGAACCTCTCCCACCCCAGATCTCCCACCTGTGCCTTTGGGGTGCCCAGCTGCAGTCCCTCCTGACTCCAAACCAGCACATTGCCAGAGACAGTGATGTGGGGACATGCAGGGCTGGGAGGGTGCAGAGACACTTTGAAGGTCCAGTGATCTAGGCTTCCTGATTAGACCTGGTCTTGATGGGACAATTATGAAAAATGAGGAAGAGAGGGAATAGAGGAGAGGGAGAAGGGGCAGGAGCAGCCCATGAATAGAAATGAGGGAGATTAGAAAAGATGCAAGAAGGAAATAATTACACTCAGCACACTGCTCTCCTTGTCCATATCTCCGCCACCTTCACCACCTTCAAAGGTTTCCGTGGAGACAAACTCCCTGCTGGAGCAGCCTTGGGGAGGGAAAGGGTAGGATTTGAGCCCCTTTGAGGGAGGAGGATGATCCCTCTGCCAATAGCAGGATGTAGCAGGCAGTGCCTGTCTCAGGGACACTTCCACCCCATCTCTAACTTCTATCATAAGGCATTGTACCATCTTTCAGCAAAATGTTATTTCCTCATCCTCTTTGCACTTCTGGCATAAGGGGACTCCAGGGTTGAATGACTACCCTAAAGAAGAGTCTCAGGGGGTTTTGTGAAGCCTCATCTCAAAAGTGCTGGGAGGCAACCCAAGAACCTAAAGACAGATTCCAGACACACTGCAGGGTAAATGGCACCTTGGGGTGAAATAATTATGGGGAGCATCAGGAACTGCAGCCCTAGGCCTACAGCTTCTGTGGCCCTCATGAGAGACCTAGGTTAAAACTTCCTAGCTGAGTTGTAACTCAGAAACCGAGATAATAAGTGTTTGTTTCAAGCTATTAAGGTTCAGGAAATTTATTACATAGCTGAACACAACCAGCACACATATGGGGAGTGAGTCAGGGACTGGCTCAGGGATGGGCCCCACCTCCAATATCCAGAGACAACTCTGTAGGGACTCGCATGACTCCTCTTTAGGGTGGTCGTCTATCCCTGAGTCTCCTTATGCCAGGAGCAAAGAGCGAGGGCAGGGGAGTGACTGTCTTCCTGAGAGGTCTGCAAGGGAGTCTTGGAAGGATGGAGGGAGAGGGAGCTGTGTCCTCCATCACCCCC